TTGTTAATTGTCTATAAATTTAAAATATAATTATTTCATTGACTTTTTTTCTCCCACCTGCTGCTGCCTGACTGAGTTTTTTAAATCTCTGAGGTTCTTTTATTTGATGTAGATAAATTGAATGCTTTTAAAAGCATTTCATTGTCATTTTGCTCTTCTGAGAAAAGTGTTAGGATATAATAGTTTTTATTGTTACTTTTACTACTAAGCCTTATAAAATTATGCTGTTTAAGATTAGTTGATTTAGTAAAACTTGATTTGTATTAAATATAGGGAAGAATCTAGTTTTAATTTTAGATTTTAACATGTACAGCCTTGTTATATGAATTAAGTACATAACTCAAACTAAGTTATAAATGTAACTTCTAGAGAATATGCTTTAATGAGTATGGAGAAGAACACGTCATAGGCCTCAATATATGTTGTAGTTGTGTTATTGTCATTACATCATTTTTCTAATACCTTGAAGATAGTTTCTTCTCATAATTGGGTAAACAGCCAGTCGTTTAAACATATGTAGTACAGAGTTGGGGTTCCCTGTAGGCTGTGCCATTTCCAGGAGGGTCCTGGTGTTTTTGCAGCAGCCTCTGTCACCGTGTGACCTGCAGGTACTGGGAAATCCCTAGGGATGACATTGGAACATTCCCAAACTGGGAGATGGTCTTATTGCTTCTTAGCTGGACCTGATTGCCTTTCTGGAACGAAGGCAAGAGCCCTGGTGTGAAGAGTCAGCAGACAGTAGCCAATCACCCAGGTAGGTGGGAATGAGTGAAGCAGATGACACAGGTGATAGGTCTAAAATTCTAGGAGAAAGCTGGACCTGAAAATGTGGTTTGGAAAGTGCTGCTCCAGCAGAAATAGTTTCTGAGAAGTCTGGATTTCTTTTTCTTGCTCTTACATAGGGGCATTTTCTGCCTCATGCTGTAAAATCTCTAAGGACTCCACTTCCCTTCAGTGATATTTCTTCAAAGTCACAGTAAGAGCCAGTGTCGTCTTCGTGGCTTCATAATCTGAGTGTTCTTCCATTGCTTTTGAGGACATAAGAATATCTGCATATTTTTGAGAAACTCTATTTTAAATCTTTATGTTCCCTTTTGCATCATCTTAGTGTGAGTAGTGTGTTACCAATATTTGCTTCAGAAGTCCCAGGAACACTGGGGCAGATGTACATTTTCTTCTTTATCATTTCCTATCACATGGATTCTTATTTTACAGAAATTTATAGAAATTTATACTCAGTAATTTTATCAGAACACTGAAAATCTATCTAGATGTAAAAAAAATCTAATTTTATTTTACTTCAAAAAATTTTTTTGGTATGAACTGAGATTAATAATTTAAATTCTGTATTTTTATATTGCTCAACTATAGTATAGTTTAGTGTATCTATTCACTTACTAGATTTCTTAAAAATGCTATGTCATTAGGGGTCATAGAACATTGCTGAGCATTTATTAAACTCTCCCTTATAACTGTACCTTTTTAATAATTCATTTTGTTTCTCTTGTTGAGTATGAATCTTCCCTTATTCATATGTACATACATGAATGTGTATGTAAATGTGTGTGTGTAACATGTAGATTTGTATAAGTGTATATTTGTATACAGTATAATGATTTGATATTTATGCCATGTGAGAAAAGTATATTTATCATTTTGACTCAATCTGTACAAAAGCAATTTTTTTTTTTTTTTGAGACAGAGTCTCATTGTGTCACCCTTGGTAGAGTGCTGTGGTGTCACAGCTCACAGCAACCTCCATCTCTTGAGCTTAAGAGATTCTCTTTAAAAAAAAAAAAAAGGATTGAAAGGAAAAAGAAATTCTCTTGCCTCAGCCTCCCAGGTAGCTGGGACTACAGGCGCCCACCACAACATCCGGCTATTTTTTGTTGCTGTTGTCATTATTGTTTAGCAGGCCCGGACCCAGGTCGAACCTACCAGCCTGGGTGTATGTAGCCTGCACCTTAGCCACTGAGCTAAGAGCACCGAGCCAGTTCTCAGTATTTTTAAAAGACATTTTTACAGCTTCTGAATTCCATCAGGTGAAACATTACCGCGAGAAGTTATTTTCATTTCTTTTTCCAGAGCTAATCTTGGGTAGTGGCAAATGATATTTGCTTTTCTGTTTATCTTTGGTTGTTCATCCAAGTACATACATGGGGAAGGGCAGTTTCCTCCGATTTTGCCATCTTTGATTTTAAAACCTCTTTTTGGAGCCCATGTGTGTGTGTGGGGGGGATGGAGAGTGGGTTGGCTAGCACCTCTGGTAGCAGCAGGGCAAGCATGGGCCTTGCTCAGGACGGGGCCCAGGTGCCAGCCTGGCCCGGGAACCCCTGCACTGGTCACTCTCTAGACTTGGTCGGAGCTGCTGATATTTTACACCAGGGTTTTGCTGAATAATTCTTTTATCATCATAGCTTTAAGTTAGATGTTTTTTCTTGGTAAGCCTATCTTCCTCATAGTTAGTGATTACTCTATATTGTTGATAAGCGATGGCATTGTTAGAACCAAATTAGAATGCTGATCTAACCTACTTTTTAGTGGTAGAAATATTATTTTCTAGTTTTTTTAGCTTGCTTCCAAGATGACCTACTTTTTTAGTGGTTATTATGGTTTTTATTTCTCAGGTTATTGCTATATTTCTGTTTCTTATAACTGAGCTGTTTATGATAAGTGTCTGTAATGAACTAAAATGATTAACATTTTTATTCAGAGTTTCAAAGTAATTCACAGCATAATTACAAGGCCATATATATATACAGACCACCACAAAATTTTATTCAGCTTACATTAGTGACATTATGTTTCTGAATGAAGGAAATACGTATTTATAGAGTAGTAACTAATAAAATTACTCTTGTGATACAGTAGAATAAAGAAAATATATATTTATGAAGTACAAGTGGTATTTTAATATTTTGTATATATTGTGCGATAATTAAATCAAGCTAATTAACATATCCACCACCTTAGCTACTTACTTTTTTGGTGGTGAGAACATTCAAAAGGTACATTTTAGTGATTTTGAAATGTACAGAACATTGTTACAAACTATAGCTACCATGCCATGCGTGCAATATGATCACTAAAACTTATTTCTCCTGAAGGGGGAGGGGGAGGGGTGGGGAGGGGGGTGGATGTGTGGAGGGAGGGTGATTGGTGGGATCACCTCTATGGTTTATCTTACAAGGGTACAAGTGAATCTTTCTAAAAGTAGAATATAAACGTCTTAACACAGTAACTAAGAAAATGACATGAAGGCTCTGTTAACCAGTTTGATGAAAATATTTCAAATTGTATATGAAAACACCACACTGTACCCCATGATTGCATTAATGTACACAGCTATAATTTAATAAAAAACAAACACAAACTTATTTCTCCTGTCCATCCAAAAGGCTACTTTGTACCCTTTGACCAACATCTCCGCTTTTGCCTTCTTGCCCACCTTCACCCACACCGCACACCCCCGTCTCTTATTACTACTGTTATACTCTGTAAGTTTGACTTTTTAAAATTTTATGTCAAGTATTTGTTTTTTTTTTTTTTTTTGCCTGTCCTACTTAATTTACCAAAATGTTCTCTGGGTTCATCCATGTTGCTGGAAATGACAGAATTTCCTTCTTTTTAGAGACTGTATTAATACTGTATTGTATGTATTTACCAGATTTTCTTTATCCATTCCACCATTCGCATTATCTTTTAAAGTTAAACATACACTTACTCCATAACCCAGCAGTTCTTCTCCTGGGTATACATCCAGGAGAAAAGCATATATGTTGGCAGCAAGGGGATATATATATATATATATAAAGGGTCACAGCAAAATTATTCACATCAAACCCAAACTCAAAACCAATCCAAATGTTCATGAACAGTAAAATTGAGATTTCTGTACATGTGTATATGCATTACATATATGTATGTGTGTACAAATGTGTATATATAGGTATATTTATAAATAGGAGGATCCAATACAGAAATGAATGACAACCACAACTAATATTGAAAAAGGGAGAGTGTCCTCTCATTGATTCCTTATATGTGAATTTATAAACAGATGAATAAGTTGTTAGAACTCAGTAGAGTGGTTACTTCTGGGTAGTACCTGGGAGCTTGCGTAGGGTTCTCCTGGGATAGTGGCCAAGTTCTGTTTCTTGTGGTAACTCATGTGCTTGCTTTGTGATAATTACATGGAACTTTTAGAGATTTGTGCGCTTTTCTGTATTTGTGTTTTTCTGTCCAATAAATAGAGATTTAAAAAGTGAAACATTACAAAAGACTCATTTTAAAACAGAGTAATATAATTTTTTAGTTAAATTTGTTAGTATTTATCATCATGCTATTAAATTTATCTTATTACAAATTCATAAAAGTAGGCAGCAAGAGAATGAGGAAAGGGTTGTGTTTTATTTTATATGAGTTTAGGTGATAAGATATAAATAGTGCGTTTAGAGAATTGGCCTTTGCATAATAACTTCCCTGTGTATGTTTAGGCTCAGATACAAAAGGGGTTCTCCTTTGCAGCATTTTCTTTTAGATGATATAAAGAGGTGCTTGGGAAATGGTGATGTGACCTCTGCTCTTGAGAAACTTGCCATTGAAAATAACATACTTGAATAAAGCTTCTTCATTCTAAGACTTTATAAGACCTTACCTTTGGGGTTGTTCAGGAACATTCTGAACATTAGGCTATCATAATCATTTAGTTAAGTTTAAAGAGAAAAATCAGGGAAATTTTTTCTGGGGTCATTTGTAGGTGCTATTATGTTAATTTAATATTATTTTTTAGAGACAAAGTCTTGCTCTGTCACCCAGGCTGGAGGGCAGTGGCATTATCATAACTTACTGCAACCTCAAACTCCTAGGGTCAAGCAATTCTTATGTCTCAGCCTCAGGTTGCTATAGATGCTAATTTAAAATTGTTTGTTACACATGTACATTATTTTCCATGTCTTTAACTTCTAATAAATATTTTTTAACAGGTGGAGAGAGAACCTGTGGAGTACATGAACTTATCTGTATTAGGAAAGGTAAGTCAGTGCTCTGCATGGATATTTTAAATGTTCTTGTATTTCATAATGTATAATAAAGTTTAGTAGGATGGCAGATAATTTGGATTTATAAAACATAACATTTACTAAAATTAATATTATTTGTATTATAGATAAGCATTCATAACATTCATATTGCTTATTATGTGGTTATTGAGAGTTGTTACTTTATATTTAGTTTTGATGAGCTGATAAAGCCTGGTGTCTAGCATATTGGTTATTAGACATGGTGAAGAGGCAAAGAATGGAGGGTTTGATTTTTGTTCCCTTTCAGAATCTGGAATCTGAGTGCATGCTGATCTCCCATTGACTTCTGTTCTATTACTGTACCCCATCAGAGAGATGTGAGGAGTTGGTTGAAATTCAAATCGGGAACATATCCAAAGACCACAACATCCTTTGACACCAACAACTGTCTATGCTTCCTTAGAAGGAGCCACCTGACAACTGGGTGGTTCAACAAGGTGGCCCCAGGAAAGGTAATTCAGTTATTAGGTGGGAGGCAAGGAATCAGGTGTATTCTCTAGATCTGGAAGAATCTAGGAGACCTTGGGCATCCCCACAACTCCTTAAAAGTAATCACTTATCTGTGAAATGGTATGAAGAAAGGAAAAGATATACCTGGGGAGGTCAGGGGAAGAAATCATCATAAATTTACTACTCTTATCTCTTTTAAAACTTGGGGCACTTACTGTTTCTTGCATCTCTCTTGAAAACTCACTTGGCCCTCCTGAGTCTGGCCAACTAGCCGCTCTCCTTTCCCTAATATATCACCTGAAGGAGGTTTGAAGCAGTGTCAGTGTTTGTGATACATGGGTATGATTGGCATGCCAGGGAAATGTCAGCATATTTTCAGTAAGTCTTCAAGAGCTCTAAAAACCTCCAGCTTCTGTAGAGTTTAAAAAATAGTTTAAGTCTTTGTAGGTGAATTTATGTGCCTACTGTTGACCTAATCATATCAGTTTATCTGTGAGTCACTGCCTATAAATGCTATTCATTTAAAAACAATCTTCTTCTTTCATTAAAAGTGTAGCTTATTTATATGTCTTTCCTCTGGTACCACAAGGAAGGAAATTGAAGTCAAGTCCCTGAAATGTCAAATTTAGGATTATGATTCTCACATATAATTGTTGGTGGTATGGGGGAAAATTATATACTGTTTTCTTTCTTCATGTAAATTTTTTAGTGTTCTATGATACCCTAATCCAGAATTACTAAAATAATTTTATAGTTGTTACCTAGTCCTACTAAAACATTTTAAAACGTTTTATTTGATGAGAACAAAAAATTTTGTACAGATTAATTGGAATTAAAAGCTGTCAAATCTGTGGTCAGGTGAAGAATCAAGACATGGGCTCAGCGCCTGTGGCTCAAGCTGCTAAGGCGCCAGCCACATACACCTAAGGTGGCGGGTTCGAATCCCCAGCCCGTGCCCGCCAAACAACAATGATGGCTGCAACCAAAAAATGGCCGGGTG